GCCCCGCTCCCCCTGCCCCTGCCGCTCCCCCTGCCCCTGCCCCTGCCCCGCTCCCCCTGCCCCGCTCCCCCTGCCCCGCTCCCCCTGCCCCGCTCCCCCTGCCCCTGCCCCGCTCCCCCTGCCCTTGCCCCGCTCCCCCTGCCCCTGCCCCGCTCCCCCTGCCCCTGCCCCTGCCCCGCTCCCCCTGCCCCTGCCCCGCTCCCCCTGCCCCGCTCCCCCTGCCCCTGCCCCGCTCCCCCTGCCCCTGCCCCGCTCCCCCTCCCCTGCCCCGCTCCCCCTGCCCCTGCCCCTGCCCCGCTCCCCCTGCCCCTGCCCGGCTCCCCCTGCCCCTGCCCCGCTCCCCCTGCCCCTGCCCCGCTCCCCCTGCCCCTGCCCCGCTCCCCCTGCCCCTGCCCGGCTCCCCCTGCCCCTACCCGGCTCCCCCTGCCCCTGCCCCGCTCCCCCTGCCCCTGCCCCGCTCCGCCTGCCCCTGCCCCGCTCCCCCTGCCCCGCTCCCCCTGCCCCTGTCCCGCTCCCCCTGCCCCTGCCCCTGCCCCGCTCCCCCTGCCCCGCTCCCCCTGCCCCGCTCCCCCTGCCCCTGCCCCTGCCCCTGCCCCTGCCCGGCTCCCCTCCCGCCCCTGCCCGGCTCCCCCTGCCCCTGCCCGGCTCCCCCTGCCCCTGCCCCGCTCCCCCTGCCCCGCTCCCCCTGCCCCGCTCCCCCTGCCCCTGCCCAGCTCCCCCTGCCCCTGCCCGGCTCCCCTCCCGCCCCTGCCCAGCTCCCCCTGCCCCTGCCCGGCTCCCCCTGCCCCTGCCTGGCTCCCCTGCCCCACTCCCCCTGCCCCTGCCCTGCTCCCCCTGCCCCTGCCCGGCTCCCCGCCCACCCCTGCGTAGCTCCTCCTGCCCGGCTCCCCCTGCCCCTGCCCGGCTCCCCAGGCCCTGAGTCCCTAGTGAGGCAAAGTGAAACCCAGGCTCCCGGGGCGCGGCCGGCAGAGGGCGCCGGGGACCCAGTACTGAGGCGGATGCCAGGGGCAGATGGGGACCCCAGGCGGTCCTGACCCCAGGACTGGCTTGGTGGGACGTGGAGAATGGGAAAGGGAGCCTGCCCTCCTACTGCCGCTGCTGCCCTCCCGGCCTCCCCTCCTCCCCTCCTGCTGCTCCTGCACTCCCCCCCTGTCCTCCCTCCCCCCTTCTTTACCCCCCCCAGGTCTGCCCTCCCTCTGCTAAGGTGGCTGGCAGGGCCTGGGACTCAGGGGCCTGGGACTCAGAGGCCTGGGTGGCCGCGGAACCCTCTGGCCAACAAGGAGGAGGAGGAGCGGGAGCGGCCTCAGCCCTGTCCAGCCTAGAGTGCTGTGGGCACCACAACTGCCCGGTCCACAGCGCCCTGCCCGGCGCTTGGGGCGCTGCCCCCTGTGCCCGGCGCTTGGGGCGCTGCCCCCTGTGCCCGCATTCCCCGCACGGGTTCCTCCACCACCCACACTGGGCCAAGCGCACCTCCTTCCCAACCTGCAGGACTCTGGCCCGGCCTCCCCTGGCCCTCCCCACCAGCCCCCTCCTTGCTCCCACAGGCCCACCTCCTCTCTGCCCCTGCTTCAGCGGCCCTGGCTCTTCTGGAACCCCCCCACACTTGTCCTACCCTGGAAACCCTGGGGCTCCCTGGTATGCCTGCTGCCCACCCCTGCCCCCACATCCTCTCCCCAGGGGCCTCCCCCACCCAAACCCCGAATCCCGAACCTGGTCCCTGGGCTGCTGACTCAGGAGTCTCCCCAAGCGCCACTAGGCCCTGCAAGGGAGGGAGAGGGAGACCCTGGCCGGCATCACAGGGGGGAGGGGAGGGGAGAAGATTCCAGTGTGGGCAGCAGGCTCCCCCAGGCCAGGTTCTGCGCAGGTATGCATGCACGCGCACACACACTTACCAGCGCACAGCACAGGTGTGCATGCATGCAAAGTCACACTGTGTAGTGCACGCAGGCACAAGCATACACACAAACAGAACCACATATCCCCACAGACATGGGTCCACTTGCGTTCCTGCACTCACAGGCAAACAGGCAGCCACAATGTGCGTGGAGCACACAGGTTCACACCCCTGGCTCCTCACAGACACACAGGACACAGGTGAACGTGCTCACGCAGTGCTCTCTCAGGGCTGCACGCATCCTTTTATGGGCTAGTGGGGGTGAGCAGTCTTCAGGCGCACCTCTTGGGAGCCCCTTGCCCTGCCTGCCACATGGATCTGACTGCCGGGAGCTGGGGTGAGGGGACAAGCCCGGCCCGGTCATGTGCAGGTGAGCCAAGTGCTCACCCTGAGGAGACCCTTGAATGACCAAGGGGCTTCGGACCTCACCGGGCTCCAGGGACCTCAGCTAGTCAGGAACGAGCAGGCGGTAGCTGCGCAGGCAGGCAGGCAGCTGGGTGTCCCCTCCCCCACCCCCCCCCCCCAGCTCTCAGAGTTCGCTTCCCTCTGCCATGAGGCTTTAGCATTTTAGCCACACCAAAGTTTCATTTCTGGAGTGTCTGGGAGGAAAGAACCGCTTGGGGAGGGGGGAGGGGGGGCGGCTTTGGACCTGCTCTGTCCCAGCCCCCTCTACGGGAGACCAAGCTGGCTTTGGCCCAGCAGGTGAGGAGGCCAAGGGTGGGGCGGGAGGAGCAGCCTGGAGAGCGAGCCTCTACCCTGGACAGCCTCAGCCTCAGCCCATCCTGCAGCCTGCTGGGAGTCCATCATCTTTCAAGGCTGTGAGTTCCTGTGAGACACTCGGCCTGTCCAGGTTTCCCCCCAAAGGATAGATTCTCCAGAACCTGACCAAATGGTTCTAAGTATTTCGTGAGATATTAAATCAGCACACCTGTGGTTAAGATATTAAAGCCAGCGCTGAAGAGCATCCCACCCAGCGGAAAGCCATCAGAGCCACCAGACCAGGCGCTAGAAAGAGGCCAGCATGGGGCACAGCAAGCTGGGGGCCCACGGAAGGGTGGTGGGCTAGGGCTTGTGCCCGGCAGCAGACCTCACTGCGGTCAGCCTGCCCACCCCGGTTCAATGTGGAGGCAGCTGGTGTCCACAGAGCCTCCCAGCCGGAAGGGGACGGCTGTGAGGGAGGCAGTGCGGGATTCTGTCCTGGGGCTGGGGAGCTGGGCAGGGAGTGCTCTGTGTGGAACCCACCTGAGCCAGAGGGGCTCTCCCCAGGGAGAGACCAGATTTCCAGGCTGAGGAAGGATGGGTCTCAGGAACCCCATCATGTGGGTCACCCAGACTCCGCAGAGCTCAAGGGACATGTGGCAGGGCTGGGGCACCAGACTCAGCACGGCCAGTAATGGGTAGGCCCTGAATCCATCCACTCCACATGCCAAGCCAGGGCCCAAAGCAGCCAGGCAGCGGCAGCCAGGGCGGCCAGGGCGCATGCGGGGTCCGGACAGTCCTGGTGAAGCCCTGGTCCTCAGCTGGGGTGCTCGTGGAAGGTGACAGACCCTGAGGGGCGGGCCATCCAGAGGAGGTGGTCCCAGGACCCTGGCCCTTTCCCATCTTGGCTTCCTGGCCACCAGGAGTAAAGGGCCCAGCAACACACACTCCCCACCAAAATGCACATGGCACATGCTCTAACGCAACAGAAGCACACAGCCTCACTAGTCACCGGAAGCGAAGTGTATTCCTGGCAGTCAACCTGGAATTCTGCCTGACATCACACCCTTAGATTTTTCTGGAAGCTCATTGCCCAGGGGCCAGGAAAGGCCGTGGGGCCCCATATCCTGGACTTCTGCCCATCTCAGCTGTGGCTGAGAGGCCTCTGTGGCAGCCTTGAAGTCCTGGGTGAATGGGGGTGGTGCCAGGAGCGTGTGCTCCGTCAGGAAGGAGACAAAGGCCACAAGGCAGAGGCAGGGGCCAGCCAGGTGCTACCAGTGGAGGCAACCCCGCCTGGCTGTTCTTTTCCCTTTTTCCTGGACTGGTCTCCAACCACCATCTCATTTCTCCCTCTAAGCGGCTGGGGTTATAACCCCTACCATCGGCCCTCCCTCTTCTCTCACCAGGGTTCCTCAGGATGGGCTTGACCTTCACCCTGAACTTGCCCACTCAGCACAGGGCTCCACAAGCTAGGAGAGTAGACAGGAGAGCAAATGAACCAGGCTGCAGTACCAGTGCCAGCCTGGAAAATCCCCAGTGTTGACTGCTGGGCTCAACCTTGGGCTCAGGGTTGCTGCCCGTGGGTTGGGGGTGGGTTGAAGGAAGGGCCCTAGCAGGCTACGGCCTGATACGGCGGGAGGGAAAGCAAGCAGGAGGTCGGGGGAAGTTGTTCTCTCGGGATCCCTGAGTGTTGGTTCAGGGGAGGCTGTGGAGCCAGAAGCCCTCACCCAGCCTTCCCGAGGGGAAGGGGGTGTCCTTCCCAGGACCTCCTTGGTCTTCAGGAGCCAGGCAGCAGGGCTCCCGGAGTCACGGCAGCCTCACTTTCAAGATGGCTGTTTAGGTAGGGGCGGCATCAGGGCTGGGCACACCCAAGGCAACGTATTTGGAACACTGGCTCAGGAACTGCCAAGCAGGGGGTATCTGGGGTGGAGGTCAAGGGAACAGCCCTTCTCCATGGGTTGGGCCCATGTCCACACCTGGACTAGGCTGATGGGTCCCACCCTGCCTTTTGACCCTCACCTGCCACACCAGAGCTCAGCTACAAGACAACTCTCAGCCCTGCTTTCTGCACATACTGCCTGGAAGCCCTTCTGCGCCACCCAGCCCTGCACCAGGGCAGCACAGGACACTACTCACAGTGGCACCGGACCAGGCCTCTAAGTGCCGAGGCCAGAGGGCCTTGGGGCTGCTCCTGAGGGCCCAGACTGCCCTGGGCCTCTGGATGCGGATGGGCAGCAACCAGGGCCACCAGCCATGCGCAGAGCCCTCTGGCTGGAGAATGCCAGAAGTCAGCCAGAATAGATGGCCTGGTTATAAGGCCAGGCCCCACCACCCCCTCCCCTCCCACATTGGGTAGGTGCTTCACAGATGTGGGAAGGTTACCAGTGCAATAAACACAGAACACTCATTACGTACAAAAGAAGAAGTGTAATTGAAATGCTTGTATAAAAAATATGATCTTCAGACATCTCACACTTTTGAACTGAAAGAACCCCACCCCGGTGCCTAATCACACCGGGTCAAACACAGCTGCTAAAATAAATTAAGGGCTTGAGACTCTGTCCCACCCAGCTTCCAGAGCCAGCAAGCAGACTGTACAGGTCAATAATTTAAAACAGACCCCAGTGCAGTGCCCAGGGTGGCAACCACCCACTCCCCTTCAATTAAGTCACTGTACAAGTTCTTCCTCCCAGATGGTGGAAGCAGGGCGGGGTACCAACCCTACAGCCAGCCACCCCCAGGGGCCTGGAGAAGACCCCCGTTCAGAGGAAGTAACCTCGGCAAATAAATTAAGCAATAAATAGCCCCCAGCAGGACAGGGGTGCCCTGCGGGGTGGGGGGTCACATCATAAATAACAGACGCAGACGCTGGTACAGACACAGATCGAGTGCGCAGGGAGGCAGGCGGGCAGCTCGGCCCGGCTGTTGCATTGCTTGTGCATGGACAGCCCAGACGAACACCATGAGACTGGAGGGTGGTGGGTGGGCGAGCTCTGGGCCTGACAGGAAGGCCGCCCCAGGTCCCGGCAGCGGGGTGGGAGAGGTCTCCGGTTCAAGTATCCACCCAGGGCAGGCAGGACCTCGCTTCACCCGGAGCGGTCTTTGGACAGAAGAGCTCAAGGAAACCCAGTCCCATGGAGCAGCGTTCAAAAAGGCACTCAAAGCTAAGGAGACAGGCCCGGTGCCAAGGGCAAAGGTCACCATGGGTCAAAGATCACTGCTTCTGCAGGAGGCATCCCAAGTCAGGGGGAGTCGGGCCCCTCTCACAAGCTCTCACTGCTGGATGTGGTGCTAGCCCCATCATCAGCGTCCAGGGCGCAGAGCCGGAGGTCACAGCTCTGAAAGACACTTCCTTCCGCCCCCAGCATCCAGGGGTGGGCAGCAATCTGGTCCAGTGAGGGCCTCTCGGAGGGCCGCAGGGAAAGACACCATTCAATGAGCTGCTGGCACTCTGTGGGAAGGGACGGGTGGGTCAGGAAAGAAGGGAGAGATCTCGGTGCCCGGCCCCGAGCCCAGCCACAGGCGCACCTGGGGAGAGCCGCCTTCGGAAGAGCAGGCGGCCCCGCAGGATCTCCTCGTCCTGCTCAAAGGGGACGTCTCCGCAGACCATGTCATACAGCAAGACCCCCAGGGACCACACGGTGGCCGAGCGCCCGTGGTAGCGGTGGTAGCGGATCCACTCCGGGGGGCTGTATACTCTGGTGCCTGGGGGTGCGGGGATGGAGGCGGCTCAGGACACGGGCGCGGGGCGCTCCGGCTCTTCCCCTCCTAGCCTGCCCAGCCTCCACCCTGGGAAAAACCCAGGGCTGCGGCAGGAGCAGGAGCGGGTGGGGCCTGAGGTGGTGGCAGCGCGCAGGCCTGGTGGCGGCCCTCCCCCGCGGCGGGAGGAGTGGAAGAGTGAACCTCAGCTCTGGTTTCACAACAAACAGAAGCGAGGTCGTCACAGGCCCTGGTCCCGCCCCGTGCGCAGTGCGCACCGCACCGAGGAGGGAAGGGGAGGAGGGAAGGAGGGGGCGGGAGGAGCGGGGAGCCCCGGCTTCCCCGCTCCGCAATGCGGGGATTTCTGCTGCGGCGCCCCCGCGTTGCGCACGCACGCACGCAGGGAAGGCCCGCCCGGAAAGGGAGGGGCGCGGCGCCCCGCGTCACGCGCACACGCCAGCCCCGCGGGTTCCCCCGCGCCGCGGCCGCCCTCCCCGCGGCTCACCGTCGAAGTCGGTGTAGACCGTGTCCTTGAGCAGCGCGCCCGAGCCGAAGTCAATGAGCTTGAGCTCGCCGGCGCGCAGGTCCACCAGCAGGTTCTCGTCCTTGATGTCGCGGTGCACCACGCCACAGCCGTGGCAGTGGCGCACGGCCGCCAGCACCTGCGCGAAGAAGCGGCGCGCCAGGGGCTCGTCCAGGGCGCCGCGCTCCGTGATGAAGTCGAAGAGGTCCTGCGCGGGCTCGGGCCGCTCCAGCACCAGCAGGAAGCCGTCGGGTCGCTCGAACCAGTCCAGCAGGCGGATGACGCCGCGCGCGCCGCCCGCCGCGCCCACCCTGCGCAGCAGCACCACCTCCAGGGGCACGGCCGCGCCGCCCTGGGGACGCGGAGGGCGGCGGGGCGGCGGTCAGTACGGGGCCGCCCGCCATCCCGGCCCCCCCTCGTCCAGCAATGCCGGCACACCTCCCCCCCCCCCCCCCGCGGGTCCCGCGATCCCGGCCTCCCCGTCCTCTCCCCCCCGCAGGTCCCGCGATCCGGGCCTCCCGCCTCTCCCCCGCTGGTCCCGCGATCCCGGCCTCCCCGTCCTCACCCTCCCCCCGCCGGTCCCGCGATCCCGGCCTCCGTCCCCCCGACTTACGAGGGTGCCCCACTCCGTCACCCGCTCCTTCACCACGTGTTTCACCGCCACCTGCGGGGAAGCGGGCGGTCAGGCCGTCGTCCCAGCGACGCCCTGGCGCCGCGCTAGAGCCCAGGTCCCCGGCCGCCCGACTCACCGGGAGCCCGTCGGCGACGCGGCTGCCCGCGTAGACCGTGCCGAAGCCGCCGCTGCCCAGGACGGCGCCCACCTGGTACAGCTTCTCGAAGCTCTCCTTGTCCGCCTTGGCTGCGGGCACAGGAGGGCGGGTTGGCACCGCGCGCCGGGACCGCCCCCCCGCCCCGGCCCGCCGCGGGGTCGGCCCCGGAGGAGGCCCGCGCCGCCCGCCCGCGTACCCGGCTGCAGGATCTTCACCGGAAGGTGGTCCACGCCGCCCGGCCCGCAGAGGTGCGCCAGGGAGCCGAACTTGGAGAGCAGCATCGCGGGCGGCCTCGCGCCGGGCGCCGCCTCTCGCCCGGCCGGCGCGGACGCGGGAGGGCGGCCTCCCGGGGCGCGGACAACGCGGCGGGCCGGGCGGGACCGAGGCCGGCGCTCAGCGAGGCGGCCGCGCGGCGCAGGAGCCCGGTGACCGCCCGGAACCGCGGACAGACGCAGCAGGCCGAGCGGCTCAGACGCCCCGGCCGACTCGCCCCGGGGTTTTGGGCCGCGGTGGCCCGGATCCCTCCGCGGAGGCGGGACCACGAGGGGCTCCGCCCCCCGCCCCGCCCTGGAGCGCGCCGCGGCTCGGAGCCAGCCAGTGAGACGCGGGTAACCCCCTCCTTTCCTGGCGCTGCCTGTCGGGGCGGCGGGAGCCGCGCGGAGGCGGAGGCGGCTACGCGCCGGGACTAGCTCTCCGTAGTAGAGTCGCGGAGGCGCACGGTGCGCTGCTGCCTCGCCGCGCGCTCGCTCGCCCAGCGCAGGCGCAGCTTGGGGGCGGGCGCGAGGCGGGGCGCGCGGGTGGGGCCGCGTGGGTGGGGCCGCGTGAGCCAATAGGAGCCGAGGTTTTGAAAGGACACGGAGGAATTAGAGCACAGCCAATGGGGAGGCAGGGGCGTGGTCACACTTCGGGCTCCGCCCCAGGCGGTGCGGAGGAAGGTCACCGCGGGGCGCGGCGGCGGCGGCGGCGGCGGCGGCGGCGGCGGCGGCGGCGGCGGCGGCGGCGGCGGCGGCGGCGGCGGCGGCGGCGGCGGCGGCGGCGGCGGCGGCGGCGGCGGCGGGCGCGTGCGTGCGTCCCTTTCCCCGCACCCCAGCGGGCGACTTGCGTGCCTCCGACCGCGAGGTGCGGGGTCCCGAGGAGAGCCGGAAGTCGGTGGGGACGCCTCCGCCGCCGGGCCGGCGTTGACATCGTGCGTTGCGTCACCGGCGGCCCCGCGCCCCAGCGCGCACGTGGCCTGGCGGGGGACGCGGCGCCCCTGAGCCCCGGCCCGGCCGGCCTCTGCTCCGCACCGCCTCTCGCGGAGCCGCAGCCGCTGGGCTCCCGATCACCGCCCCTCCCTGGCACCTTTGCTTCGGCGCTGGGCCCGCCCCTGCGCCCCGGGTCCACCTGACCAGGTCCTGACCAGGGCCTGTGCTCCCAGACTCACCGCGCCATGGGCTGACCCACCTCAGGGCGGTGGCCCGGGCAGCTGGGGACACGGACTCCAGTGGCCGCCAGCCCCCGCGCAGCCCTGAAGTGGGCTGATGTCAGGTACACACACGTGCGCTCACACGTGTACACACGCAGGTACACACGCGCATCCGGGTTTGAGTGTCTAGGCTGATGTGCCTGGCCTACTGGGGTGATTGCACCCACACCGGCCTCAGAGTCTGGCTTCCCACCCTTCAGTGTCCACTGGTGTCACTGCCTGCCATTCCGGGGCCTGCTCGGAACCCTTGCCCCAGCCCTCCCCCTGGGCCCTGAGCCCAGGCCTCCTGTGGGCCTGGCCTTCATTCTGTAGCTGGGCACCTGTCTGAAAGAGCCTTCTCCTCCCAGCTCAGATCCTCCCTCCCCAGGCCCTGGGGAACCCAGGCATCACCCGGAGGGAGCAGGGGTTGGCCCGGGGGGGGGGGGGGGGGGGGGGGGGGGCCTTGCTGTGAGGTGGCCATTCCCAGGTATCAGCTTGGCCAATGGAGGCTCTGATGGGTCCCCTCAGCGCCCTCCTCACCGCAGGGTTGCCCGGCCAAATTTCAAGGCCTGAGGGCTTCAGGCCTTTCTACCCATCCCTCCCACGGTCCCTGGTCCCTGGTCCCTGCGAGGGACCCCCCTCTCCACCTGTTTGTGGGTTTGTTATTTTCAGTTTCTGGAAGGCCCATCTGCTGGGCCTGAGAAATTGTTCTGAGCCTTATGAGTAGTCCCAGCCCACATTAGCAGCAAGAGGGCTCTCCTAAGGCTAGGAGAAGCAGGGAGAGGGGGCTGGGCCAGGGTCTGACTGTAGAGACCCAGCACACACATCCACATATGCGCACACACACACCTGCTGAGAGGGGCTTTAGGGCAGTGGGGGCCTCACCTCCCTCTCACAGCAGGGGAGCAAGGTAGATCCTTCAGAAAGTCTGCACCCGTCCCTCACCCAGCTCTCACAGTTAACCCTGCGTGCAGTGAACTGGATGTGAAGCTATCCTGACCAGGTGTCCCTGTCTGCCTGGGGAGGGCTGTGCTGTAGCTGGGGAGGCCCTGTCCAGGCTAGCCTCCCTGAGTTAGGCAGAGCTGGACAGACAGGGCTGGGTCTCAGTCTCCCTCCCTCACAAACCTGCTTACACACTGTGACCCTGCTCAGAACGGCTTGCAAACACACTTGTACACATGCATCGAATCACACCCGCCTGAGACATCCCCAGGGAGCTAGGGGAAGGGGAGGGTAGGGCCACCACCCAACCCCAGCCATGCCCACCTGCTCCCCTCCTCTCAGCCTATCTTGGGTCCTCTCTCTGTCCCTGGTAACCTTGTCCACTGCCAGCACCCATGCCACTTCAATCAGCTTCTGTCCAGACGGCCCTAGGTGTCCCACAGGTCTGCTTGACTCTGTCCTGGTCATCTTTAATGCTTCCTCCAAACAGGCCATGCCTGGGATCTCCTCACCCCCACGAGGCCTGTGGCTCTGTCCAAGCCCTGCACCTTCTCCCTGCTAGCCCACCATCTTCTCTTGGCCTCATCCTGGAGTCGGGCTTTTCAGCCATAGGGGCAGTCCCAGCAGTGGACAGTCCACTTGTGCCCCAACCACTCTAACCGTAAGTCCACTACAGAAGGGACTGGCTATGGCTGGGTTGGCCCTTTGCCAACCCTTGTGCCCAGCTGGACAGTCACCAGATGGACACAGCTGGAGCCAGTACCTGCTGCCATTCATGGTCTCTGTTCAGACCCTGACCCCTGGCCCTGGGCTATGCCAGTCCAGTGTTGCCCTGAGCCTGGCCCTGGCCAGTTGGTTCAGTGTCCTGCCTACCCCTAGAGCCAGTCTGCCCGGGGCCACAGCTAGGGGTCAGCTGGAAAGTGCGCCCAGCACAGGAGACGCCCTTCCCCTCCTTCCCCGAGCTGCTGGGTGCGGCCTCTCACCCATGGGGAGCAGAGCCAGCCAGGATTTTGCAATGTTTCACCAGAGGTGTCCCAGAGTCGAAGGGTTCAGTGTTGACCTGGACACCAGCCTGGGCGAACTCTGGCCCAGCCCCTGCGGCAGAGGCTGACGGATACCATCTCCCCACACAGGGGCCCTGACCGGTCCCCAGGCCTCCACCCAGGCCTGCCCCGTGCTCCCCGGCCTTGGCATAGTCCCCTGCTACTGCCGAGGATGGTTTACCTGAGCTGTTCACGGGCTGGGCCCACACCTGGGCAAGGCCACCAGGCCTCAGCAGAAAAGACCCTGAAAAAGCAGAGAGGATTCCAAGCTGTGTCCAGACTTAAGCTAGACTGTGCGTGGACCGGATTGCAAATTCCCATGGTCGCGCAAACAGCTGCAGCTTCCTTGCCTCGTGGACCTCGGAGGCAGGGGAAGGTGAGCAAGGAGAGGCAGGTGTCCTTGCTGTCCCTACACCAGGGCCAGCTGGGCCGGGACTACTGCGGCAGCCAGCTGGGTGGAGGGTGCCCCTCACCCCGCACTCTGGCTCCACACGGCTCATCATGCCAGCCCCACGCCTCCATGCCTGACCCGGTCCCCTCTGAAGACGGTCTTCGATCCCCAGGCTGGGCTTCCACTGCACACAGGCCAGGGCCTCACTGCTTCTGTCCCACCTCCAACGCCAGGGCTCTGGCCCCTCCCAGCCTCAGCCCCCACATTGTGGCGGGGTGGAGCCTCTGGAGGTCAGGAGTTACCTGTGAACAGGGGTCATGGAGGCAGCAGGGGCACAGGCTCAGAACTTCATCCATATACTCCCAGCGCTCCCTGGGGTGAGCTGGCCTGGGGTGAAGACCAACATGACCAAGCAGCCCAGGTGGGCATGAAGGGAGATGGGGAGAATTCTCCTGTGTGCATGGTCCCCTCACTGCGGGGGGCAGGGGAGGTGCTTCCAGCGAGCTCACTCCTGGTCTCTTCTAGTGGAGTAGGGACGAGGATTTGGGGATCTCGCTTTGAGCACGATCGTGGCCTGGAGATGTCCCTTCACATGCACTTCCTGCATACCTTCTGTGTGCAGCATACTCCTGCACTGCACATCTGCCTAGAGATACTGCGTGCGTGCGTGCGTGCATGTGTGTGTGTGTGTGTGCAGGGAGAACAGGGACCTTCTCAGGACTGGGGACTTCAGGGGAAAGACAAATATATGGGTGGCAGCTAGCCCTGCCAAGCCCTCACACAGGAGTGCGGCTGCCAGAACATGAGCTGTGTCCAAGAACAGGTCAGGCTTAGACAGAAACAGGGCAGAGCAGATGACAGGCTTCGGGTCAGGCCTGATCTAGCCCCTCCCTGACAGCCCTGAACGGCTCCCACACAGCTTGAGGCTGACAAACTTGAGCACCTAGTCCTTGTGGCCCTTCTTTCACGGCTCAGAAATGTTCCTGGGGAGAGAGGTGCAGGTCCCTCACGCCCAGGCATGTTGGGGGGGGCGCCGGTCAGTGCTTCCGAGGAAGAAGTGACCCCGAGTCCTGCCTATTGAGAAAGGATTAGAAGGGACCCAGCACGTGTTTGTGCCTCTCTGTGTCAGAGGTGCCTGCGGGCGCAGGAGGCTGCAGGAGCCCGCCCTTGCCCCTCACGCCTCGGGTCTGCTGGGAGCCGGCCAGACCCTCAGGTAGGGGCTGACACTGGGTGGCCAGTGTGGACATGGAGCTGGGCCGGCTCCATGGGCCAGTCCACAAAGTGGACACTCTCCTTAGGCTGGACACGGTGCTCGGTGGTCTCCTGGTCAGCTCTCCCCCTGCCCTGCCTTCCAGAACACTCTGGGGACCCAAATGGGAGCTGAGCAGAGCTCCAGGGCTCCCAGCCCAAGGAGGCCTTTGGCCTGGAGATGTCTCAGCCCAAGGAGGCCCTCGGCCTGGCGACGTCCCAGCCCAAGGCCTGCTGACCAAGTGTGCTGGTGTGGGGGAGGGGTGGCCTGGCCTTCAGCCCTAGCCTAGCCCTCAGTTTTCTTGGGCCCTTTGGAGTCTGTGTCCTGTGCGCTGGGGGAGGGGCTGGGAGGCCTGAGCGGCTAAGGGAGCAGAGTCCAGGCCAGCAGAGGCTCGGGAGAGCCCTTCCCTGTGCCCGTCTTTGGCCCCAGGCAGTGAGGTGGCTTGGGCGGGGCACCCGGTGGAGAAGCAGCTGGGCTCTGTGCCAGCCGCAGGTGACTTCCCTGTTCCTGGGAAGTGTCAGGTGGGGCCCACTGGGCCCGCACATGGGCTGTGCAGCCTTGGAGGGGGGCTGCCCTAGCTCCTGGCCAGCTTGCCCTGAGCACCCGCTGCTGCCCATGCGACCTTCTCCCAAAGCAGGAGCTGCAGGAACTTCCTGGAGGAGGCACTGCACCTGAGCTCCGGGGACGGACACCTCAAAGTGCCACAATGGCTTGCCATCCGGGGCAGAGCCTGGCGAGCACTCTCTCTGAGTGCACACCTGTGCCAGGCCCGGGGCACGAGCTTGGCCGTGTGCCTTTGCGGCTGGTTGGTCTGTTGGCGTCTTCATCTTGGGTGGCCAAGGGCTGGACACTTGGGTCCTCCCGCTGTCCGGATGGGGTGCCCACACTGCCCACCTCACCCCTGCCCCACCAGGCCCCTCACCAGCACCTACTGCTGCTCCAGACCCGGGCCTCACCCAGGGATGGTCTGAGGCCCGGCAGGCCTAAAACCAGGTCTTCGGGACCTGGGAGGGTTGAGAAGCTAGGCCGCAGGCAGACGTGTTGTCGGGGGTGGGGGAGCAGAGCGGGTGGCCTGCCAAGCCCAAGGCAGTGGGGCGGGTGCCATGTGCATGCCTC